GGTTTTAGTCTCCGTATTGCAGCTGCCACCGCAAATCGTAGAAGACGCCCGATTGTCACCCGAAATACAACCTTTTGGTCGACCGTATGGCCAATGCCCTGCGCAACCACTTCGGCATATGGTCAGCTAACCGCGTGGCCAATTGCCTTTGCGTGCGCCCGATGTATTCGCATCTACAACTACATTTTAGCTCATAAACACAGTTTGGTGTGGCGTGCATAGGCAGGATGTATTTAGTCGGCCGAACTGGAATAGCCGTTGTTTTGCTTATCAGCCCACATCTATGACTAATTGTTTCTACGCTTTTTACCTATCAAGTTCCAGCCCTCTAGGTCGACACTTAATTGGACAATTAATTATCTTATTAATAGGCAACGACCGGCTGCAGTTGAATGAGAGGTCACGAAATTTATGACGTCAATAAATCCTGCTAATCTAGTGAACTTTGTCTTGTCCAAATTTCTTCCGGGAAAAGAATGTTTATAACTTAAGATGGTTAAGTAAAAAATCACTACTCGAGGCGTCAGACATCAAATAAACCCTCTTCCGGTGAACGCCTCTTCGTATTTTGATGACCAGGAAATAACTACTTGGAAATGGCAAAACGAACCCGAAATGGCCATCCCCGACACCTTTCCGCATTTTAAGTAATTGTGCTGACAAATGGAACAACCTCTGGCAAAGGTGAAAGAGTTCAATGAAGTAATTGTCCAGACTGTTTTTTTTAAGTAGAGAAAACTATTCTCTATGACGAGGAGAGGCTTATGCGAAAAATCCGAGCGCCAATTGGTTGGTCACAACACGAAAGGAAAAAGACATACCGGTGAAGGAGATGATGCGTTTTCCCTGGAATGATAGCCTCTCGGCCGGAAGGTCGGGAAAGTTTGTCATGGTGTTGCTGAAGTAATCGATCCAGGGACCCTGTAGATGTGTCGCTGAGGACTTGCTGATGGAAGGCCTGGCGACCTGGTGCAAGGGAGAGTGAGTGCAAAGACGAGACCATAAGCAACAACAAAGGTGAAGCTGGTATTGAGATCTGTTAGGACGGCGGAGTCATAACTCGGGCTGTC